TACGAGAGGAGGGTGAAGGAACTCACCTACCAGGTAAGGCTGGAGGCTTCTTTGCATTGCCTTCCTGGTAGAACAATGTTTCAAAACGTTGGAACATTGCCTTCCAGAGGGACTTCTTTCTATACCTCAGACAATGACAGAGTTAACTGGATTTTGACACCTGTCCTTCTGGACTGCAGTGTTCCATAAACTATGTTATTCCCTCTGTTTCACATTTATGAAATTTAGAGAATGATGTAAACAAGGTTTTCTGTTACTTGCCATTCTCTGTAGTCTGAGGAAGACCGGAAGAATGTTCTCAGGCTGCAGGATCTGGTGGACAAGCTGCAAATGAAAGTGAAGTCCTACAAGAGACAGGCTGAGGAGGCTGTAAGTACCAATTTGAGCAAACCAGACTTCCTTCTTGTCAAATTCTGTGTTATTTTCTTCTGTTCGTCTTCTTGAAACCTTGACTGCTTTCATGCAACATGATGATGTTTTGACACAACACGGAATGTGAGAGTAAGACTTTCTGGGTTTGGGAGGAACTATCTTTCTCCATTTCTGTTTTGCTCTATGCCTCATTTCCCACTCTGTTTCTTCCTTCACACCCTACTCTGGGCATCAGAGGCAGCTGCCAGTCTGCCTATTGAGGACTCTGACATGAACTCTGCCTAGACCATGCTGTGTGTAATGTGGCCGTGGCCTTTTTAACATTGCAATATTCTTTTCTCTTCCGACATACTTAACACCCTGAACAGCTTCTTGTCTTGGTTGTGAACCTGCTCTGCTAGTCCAGCTGTGGCATTTGAATTTTTCTTTGCCCAGTTTTCAGATATTAAATGTCCACATGCTGTCTGTTGTTTTCACAACTCCTTCTCCCCACACAGGAGGAGCTCTCCAATGTCAACCTCTCCAAGTTCCGCAAGATCCAGCACGAGCTGGAGGAAGCCGAGGAACGGGCTGACATTGCAGAGTCACAGGTCAACAAGCTCCGAGTGAAGAGCCGGGAGTTTCATAAGAAGGTAGCAGAGGAGGAATAAGGTTCCCAAAGCTAAAAAGTGACCTGAGGCATGCATAAAATGTAAACCTCTGTGTTACTTTCTTCTGTAATTATCATTTATGTGTAGGTAATAAATACAGTAGAGACCTTTGCATATGAACAGTGCATACTTTATTTATTCTAGCATTCGTTACATTTAAAAGTATGTCAAAGAGCATTACATTTTTACATCTGCATTTTAAAAGTGCATGAAAAATAGTAACGATTATATAGATTTATTATTCCTCTTACAATGAGAAGTATGCATTTCTTTGATGGACTAAGACTACATTCTTCCAAGTTATTTTGATCAATACTTTCGGGAAAAAAAAAAATAAAAGGAAAAATATTCCTGAAGCATTTAACATATACACACACACACACATATATATATTAAAAATATGTGTATATATATATATATATATCTCAATTTTGTTAATTGAAAAACTTATTTGGTTAGGTTTAATGGTATGGGAAACTCAAATTTCACTCCAAGCATTGACAAGCAGGCCAACCAATGTGGTGAGACAGTGGCATGAAGAGATATCCTCACTCACTTTCTCTGAAGTTATTTTGTTTCATGCATAGTACAAATCATACACATTCACATGTGGGATAAATAATGAGAATCCACAGTTAAAAGACTATGGAGGAAAAAATAGGTAAGGCTGCAGATTCTGTCTATAATTTGAGTCAAGCCCTCCCTTGCCTTTCTAGGCTCACCCCTTCTACTCTGTCCACAGCCTGACTCTTCTGCCTGTTTATTGCCATTTTCAACATACTGGGCCTGTTCATTTTCCTAAGAACAGCCTACAATATAATATTTGCATAAAGCTGAACTAGACATTCAACAGTTACATGTTGATTGAAAATGTAACATAACGTAAAGTACAGCTCTGGTTAGGTAAGGTCCCTAACTACTGATCACGCTTTGGAACACATTCAGTGTGTCTAAGTGCCTGGTAAATTAGAAGTGAAGCTGAATAGGGACTCCTGTTACTGATAAATTTGTTTTTGCCAAGACACAGTGTGAGACTGACTTGGTTGGTATTTTTGGCATATGGTCAAGCTTTAGCAGCTACCTCAAACTTGCTGTTTATTTAAAGCATGTGCTAAACATCTTCGATCATCCCACCAGAATTGTCAATCCGTAGCTGACCTTCATGTGTCCCTTTTGGATATCTTTTCTAATCCTTCAAGTGCTGTAAAACCACTGCTTTAAAATGCTAAGGGTTCTTAATAAAACATGTAAATAATATTTGAGCAGCAGAAGACAGTTGAAGTTAGGAACGGACACTACTCCACCCATTTTAGAAACCACAGTTCAGGATCCACCATAGCTGAGCATCTCTGAGGCTTTTGGTGCTCCCTTGAACCCTTTGGGTTATTTGTATGAGCAGCACCCTGTGACTGATAACACTAAACACAACCGCACTTCATGCCCCATCGCAGGATGTGTCACTGTACTACCATGTGCCCTGCTATTCCAAGGGCTCATCAGAGACCTCCAGGAACACATCACAGTTTTTGGTATCAATCACATTTCAGAAAGGGGGCAGGGTGAACAAGGGAACTGAACTGAGCTGAGCAGGAAAAGCCTCTTTTCTGCTCTTATAGTACATTTCATCTTCCCCGCCATCCAAGGGTTTCGTGCTGAGCTAGAAACCCTGTGGGGACAGATCTCGGCTGGAGTTGGGGCACCACAACACTCCTGCCTACCACACAGGCCATAATCCAGAGGGAAATGCACCCGGAGCCAGCTTCAGGAGCTGCATTAACCAAAGGGACCCTCTGCCGAAAAGGCAGAAGAGGCAGAACTTTGTTCTGCTAATACACTTACCCGTTTGGCTGTGCATCATGAGACAGATCATTTTTATTTCCCATGTAGCTGCTCACCTACATCCAGCTTCTCCACCGCAAAAGCAGGGGATGGGAGAGGAGCAGAGGGAGCCGAGAGAGAGCAGAGGTGGCCGGGAGGGCGCGGAGGGGGGCCGGCAGGGGAGAGGAAGGGGCCGGGAGGGGAGCAGAGGACGCCGGGAGCGGTCGGGCACAGCAGGAGGGACGGGAGGCTCCCTCAGTGCCCGCGCCAACCCTCCCGTGCAGCGATGGGCACCCCTGGCAGGGGCCCTGGCGGGGGCAGTGCAGGAAGGCACGCGAGTGAATGCCAGCCGTGAGCTGGTTTTAAAAGCTCCTTCGATGGTCCGTCCCTCTCTCTGGGAATTTCAAAGTTCCCTTTCTCTTTTCCCTGTTTTTCAGCCTCGGTCACCCCGTGCTTTGCCCCGACACCTTCCTGAGCTCTGGCCGGGTCGCCTCACCCGCGGCACAGCTGTTGCAGGCCGGGGCGGGCTGAGGGCCCGAGGCCCCGCTGGTGCCAGGGCTGACCCTCTGGCAGGGCTGTCCTTGTGCCAGGGCTGTCCCTGTGCCAGGGCTGACCCTCTGGCAGGGCTGTCCCTGTGCCAGGGTTGACCCTATGGCAGGGCTGTCCTTGTGGCTGTGCTGCACTGCTGGGACCCACAGACAACCCCTTGCCCCCCGAGGTGCTCTGCTCAGACGTGGTGCCCATCCAGACTGGCTGCACCCTCTGTGTCAGGGCAGCACGAGGAGGGAGGGGAGCATGGGGTGAACCTGGCAGAGGTGGTAGATGGAGAACAATACTGGGGCATGATACTTGTTCAGTCCTTCCTTCTGCCAATGAGAAATGGCATTGCCTATGTAGCACTGTGATGGCAGATAGGAATCAGTGAATCGGTAGAGACCCAGACGACTTCTAGAACATACCTAAAATGTGAAATAATTTATTTTATTCTCTGTATACTTTTTTGCCCCTTTTTTTTCAGGAATGTATCATTAGTCTTTATGTCCTTTCAGTTTACAGTAGTTTGTTTAATGAATGTCCTCAGCAATCAGTTGCAATTGCTTTCTGGCTGGTGTTTATCAACAATTTATCATTGTTGACTTCTTGGAAAGCTGCATTGTTAGCCCAAACTGGAAACACTATAAAGTATGAACTATTTATAATACAAAGGAGAAAATTTTACTGGCATAATTTTTGCCATTATGTTCAATAAGCAAAGTTTTTCTATTTTAGATGCCTTAAACATTTTCCTTTTGAAGAAGCCACCACCTTTCAACACGTCTGAGAGCTGACTGAAGAGGCTGCTCAGGTTGCCACTTTTCTGCAGCCGCTCTAGAAGGATTTATAGGTTCCTCTGTGCTCAGACAACTGCTGCCTCCCCTTTCTCAAGCAGACGTGCACCAATTTTAGCTTCAGTAACTGTTGCCATTGTGGACACCCTCAGAATGACAGAAGAGGCAAAATCAGTAGGAACTGGACACAGGGAGAGAGGAATATCAGTGATGGATAGAGGCTCAGTACTAGGTTTGGGTTTGTTACATGTGTGGGTGAGATTCAACTCCAAACTCAAATACCTACTTTTAGTCATCTTCATGCCCAAATGAATCTGTAGGTAAGTGAGCTGAATGTTTAAGCTCCTGATAGACAATACTATTAGAACCAAGCACATGTTTCTGGTCACTCTAAGGTAGACAACCACATTAGGACAACTGGGTCATTCTCCAGTTTTTATTAACTTGAGCTCTGATGCCAGCAGGATCTACAACACCTGGATCCCAGGTAGGGACATATGCATACGGTGTGTGTGAAGGGCTGTTGATGATGGAAGACTTGAGCAAATAGGGAATGCATATATACAGCAGGAGGGCTATACTTGTGCAGGTCATAGGGAGGGAGTTGCACTGGATTTGGTAGACAAGAGGAAACCCTGAGAGAATATTATAGCTGGCAGAAAAAAGCTAAAATACCTTTTGTGAAAGACTCTAAAAAGTTGTTGCCACTTTCATTCTGCTTGATTGAAACAAAATTGTTATATTAAAGCAAAGGATTTCCTGACAGTTTTGAGGAGAAAAATACTGCAGTTTTAAGAGCTATCACAGTTTGCCTAGTTTAATTTTCACTTTTTTCTTTTACTAACAAAGGTAGTAAAGTTAATTTTATACAAAACTTAATCCCCCAGATACACGTGCACACATACACACATTTTTTCTTGACATTCAGCTTTTACATATCTGCAGTTTGTCCAAGTTTGTCTAATTTAGAAAGTTATAGTTTCAATTTTTCTTTGTCAGCTACAAAGTTTTTTCCAAATTAAGAAAACTTTCCTCTTAAAATGGCAGAAAGGAAAAACAATAGCAAAAATACATACAGATAGAAAAAAAATGCTCACTTTGTATTCTGTTATATTGACTGGGACTATAAAGGCAAATAAAGAAAGGGAAAATATAAGTGAAAACAGATCAAGCAATATGTTACAGGTCGTGGAAGTTTTCAATTCCATGTAATTTTGAAAAATCCTTTGGAAAACTATTTTCTTTTGAGCCTTCAAACCTTTATGGGTTATTTTTTTTCTATTTGAAAAAATCTTACAAATCAAGGCTTTTAGGCAACCATCAGCTTTATGTCAGTATTATATATGATTGTGGGAAAACCATGAGGTTTTCCTTTTTTTTTTTTCTTTTTTGTAGCCAATTTTAATCCAGGTCAAAGACTGCATGCACCAGCAAAATGAGACAACATACAGAGTCATTGAAATACCTGAAACTCATACTGAATTCCAGTTCTCAGACAACATTACTGCATTAAACACATGAAAGAAATGCTGCTTTATACTCAGGTGAGGATTTAGTTGACAGGGTTAAATCATAGGACTCACTCTTCAGTGGGAATCTACTCCAAATGTGAAACCGATGTCTGTTAATCTTCTCCCCACCCCCAGGATTACAGTGCCATCACAGAGACACAGTCAGCTGAGAGAAGAGGAGGAAGGAATTTCCTCACTTTCTTATCCAGACCTCTCAGTAGGAGATGCTGAGAGAGGAGCACAACTGGTACTGTAGCTGGGGAGGCAAAACACTGTGGGACCAGGTGAAGCTGCTGAGATGTGGTTCACTTCAAACTTCTTTGTGGTAGGAACTGTAATTTGGAAGGTGAAGACCAGTACATAAAAAAAAAAAAAAAAAAAAAAAGAAAAGAAAACAGAAGAAAACCAAACAAAACCACAAACAAACAAACCCAACAAATCAAGATCTGTTGCACGGGGATTAAATTGTTTCTCAGTAAAGCAAAGGATTTCACTGCTCTCTTCACCACTCTGATCTTGTGAATATGGAAGATGTGTAACCCCTTCCTTAATCTGGGTGGGCAACGACCAAGGATCAGAACAGTACATTGGCTTTTCACACAAACTAGAATGGGGTTCAGCTCCCTCTAATAGTAACTGCCTCTCTTTCAGACCAACATAGTACATGACTCTTTCTGTTCTAGAGAATGTAAATTTATTAAACCTTTCCCTCCATCTGGTACACTTATCCAGAAAAAGTAGTGCTGAATGACTACCCTATGTTGAGACAGCACCTATCTCTCCAGACTGCAATGGGATATAGGTCTTAAGTTCAATATAACGGTTCCATAGTCCCGTTCATGTGATCTTTGAAACTCTTCAGCTCGAAAAATCACAATTGGATTTCTGTGTCTTTCCTCTGGCACCTAACTCAGTGACTTCAGTCTTTGAAGCTTTTATCTTTAACTCAAGGTAAACTTTTTCTGCTCTTTTATTGTTCCTTGTGTCCTTGGTGACTTGTTGTTACTCCATTGGAATCAAACCCCTATTTACTTCCTCTTCCTTATTCAGATATCCTTATCACTACTTTCAGACTCATTCTTCCCCCCCTTCCCTTGCTTTGGTTTTGATCCATTTTACTCCTCAGTCATTCTTATCATTCTCTGATTCTCATTCCTGTGAATTCTGTTCTTTTCAGATGCTTCCTCTTGGATTGGGATTTTCTTCCTCTAGCAATGACCCTGCCTCTCAGTAGGACCCCTTATGTTTTTCCACATTGAGGACTCTGAGCATTTGCAGCAGACAGAAGCCTGTGCCTTCATGTCTCCATCCTTACAGGTTTCCTACTAGAACACACTGTCTCTTACTCTTCACTTTCTTTGCCTGAGTCAGCATCCGATGGATTACAGAACCAATGTAGCCCCTTTCATCTCTTTTAGCACACCCTCCCACTTCCCCCCCTTCTCAGGCTCTCTTGTCAAATTATTTATAGGACATTGATTCACAGACCCGCTATGTCTAATTATATCCATTCACTTCTAATATAAATGGCAATTTTGCTAGGAGTTAAGATTGCCAAAAATGTTTTGACCTAAGAAAGAAGAGGTGGTGGCTACATATGCAGATCAGATTCTATAAAAGTACTCTGGGATCAGTGTGTCGTGTCCTTCCTCAAAAACCTCTAAGGTAAGAGTTTCAGGGGCTTGGGACTGGGGAAGTGGGGGATGAAGGAAAACTGGCCCTGCATTCCACAAGCACCAGTGCATTCCTATAGATGCTCACATTTATTCAGTGGGGGTCTGTCAGTGTCAGCTGGGATTTTCAGTCTGCTTTCAAGGCATCCATGTGTTTTTAGTCAATAAATGTTGTCTGGGGTGCAGCAATAAGAAGGAAGTTACTAATTCTCTTTTTTAATACTGACCAGCTTCCAATCTACAACCCATTCAGCTTGTCTCACAAAAGGTAAGATCTTGATTTATTCACTCTATAGGGGCAGGCAGAGTTGCTCTAAACCAAGGATTCTATGCAGGTATGCTGGTAATCCCTGTATTCAATATGTTTATGTCTGCTGTATAAATACAGTACGAGAACTGGGCTGGATTGCTGATATCTTTATCACAAGATTCTTAAAGACAGTGATCTTAAAAGTACTGATCACTGCTGCATTGCCTACATTCTCCCCAAGAATCTCCAGTAGAGACCAGTTTCCTGGAGAAACTGCCCTAAGAAGAAAAACCCCATCAGAAAGCAGTTTCCAATTACTTTGTGAGTTTTTTTTGCATTTACCTCAAACATCAAGGGTAACTGGCACTGGCTGTGAAGCAACAGGAAAAGACATACATATTTAAATAATGTTAATATTTTCTTTTTTCACATGGAAGCTGGAGGGACAGGGTTAGAATTTTGCATATCAAAACATCAAAGTGATTAAAGCAAGCATTTCATACTGAGCTTCCTTATAGGCTTGTTTCTGCCTATGAATATATTGCATAATTGTGACATAATTATATAGGCAAATATTTGTAATCACAGGGAACTGAAGAAAGGATGATACCTACTGGGATAACTGGAAAAAGAGAGATGGGATAGCAACTAAATTCGAAGTTTTAAAGATTTGCACCCAGGAAAATAAACTCCTCACAATTTATTTTTTACATTAATTTATATTAATTTTGTCAAATATTGTCACTAGAATATATCCCTCAAAATTATAAAATGCCAACAAGCAATCATGTGTAAGGAGTATAACTAGCATTCTTTGAATAAGTGGAGGAGAGTTAGCATAGCACTGATTTCAGGAAAACTCAAAACAGTCAAAAGAAAATAGTTTAATTCTTTAAAAAGTTAATATACTCACAGATTGCATACATATATTATATGCTAACATAATGTATACTGACCTACTATATATATTATACTTTTTAATAATACCATAAGGATATATTGTGATAAAAGCTTACAGTGTCTATAAAATAACACAATGTACAATATGTATCCAATATACATAATATAAACTAATATACTACAATATATAATAACACAATATATGCCGACATAGTATATACTAATATCTGTAATATGGTAATGTTATTCGTCTTAGGAATAGTTATATGTTTCCTGTTAGGAATCTTGTAAGAAAATGGGAGTGTTATAGGTATTACAGGCAATATTAAAATTGCAGTTGAAAAAACTAGGACCATTTTTCAACTATATGTAATTATTTTGTGAAATGGTCTCATTTGAGTTATAACACATTAATCAAGTGGAAAACATGTAGTTAAAAACAAAGCCATGTCAGGAAATTGTACCATTCATTTGAATTGATAGCACCTATTTGTGTCGTGAAGTCTCTGCTGGCAGAGAAGGCAAAGCAATTTTTTTTACATGTAAGCAGGGGAACATTGAGTAGAATTAATTTTATAGTGTACAAAAATACTGTGATCATTGTTAAACTATTGTTTCTGTTAGGTTGGCCATACTGCAATAATCACGTTACTAAATGGTAAAGGGTCCAGAAAATAGTTTAAAAAATATTCTAAGTCCATAATATCCTTTCTGCAATCAAAGTGAAAATATTTCGCAAGGAAAAGTTAACCGATCACTTGATTTTCACCTAGACATCTGCCATAGGTGAAAGTATTGATAAAGAATTTAACTTTTTGATTTATTCAGAAAAGCTATTCAAAATCCAAATTGTAGGTGATGAACACACATAACATTAGTCTAAAAAAATCCCAAATCATTTGGACCAGAATCATAGAGTGGTTTGGGTTGAAGGGACCCTAAAGACCACCTAGTTCCATCCCTCTGCTGTGGGCAGGAACACCTTCCACTAGACGAGGTTACTCAGGGTCCCATCCAACCTGACCTTGAACACTTCCAAGGATGGGGCAGGCACAGCTTCTTTGGGCAACCTGTGCCAGGGCCTCACCACTCTTGTAAAGAAATTCTTCCTCATATATAATCTAAATGCATCCTATTTCAGTTGGAAGCCATTCCCCTTTGTCCTGTCACTCCAGGCCCTTGACCAAAGTCTCTCTCTAGCTCTCTTGGAGCCCCTTTAGGCACTGGAAGGGACTCTAAGGTCTCCTTGGAGCCTTCTCGTCTCCAGACTGAACACCCCCAGTTCCCCCAGCCTGACTCCAGAGCAGAGGGGCTCCAGCTCTCAGAGCATCTCCCTGGCTTCCTCTGGACTCACTGCAGTAGGTCCATGTCCTTCTGATGTTGTGGACCCCAGAGCTGGAGGTAGCACTTCAGGTGGGGTGGAGCAGAGGGGCAGAGTCCCCCACTCCCCTGCTGCCCATGCTGTGGGATCAGCCCAGCACACCGTTGGTTTCTGGGTTCCACCACACGCGGCTGGGGCATGTCCAACCTCTCACCCATGAGCACCCCCAAGTCCTTCTCCCCAGGATTGCTTCCATCTGGTCATCTCTGAGCCTAGTTTGGTACCGAGGGTTTCCCTGATCCAGGTTCAGGACCTCACTCTTGGCCTTGTTGAACTTCATAATGTTTGTACAGGCCCACCTGTCCAGCATGTCAAAGTCCCTCTGGATGGCCTCTCTTCCCTCCAGCATGTTGACTGCTATAAACCTAAATTCCAGCTTCACAATTGCGTGAAAGTCAAGACAATGCAGTCAAGACAATTATTAGGCAATAACAAACAGATACTAATTGGCTGGGTTTTTTTAAGTAGTGAATGAACTCGAACTTTTTTATTACAAAATAGAATAATCGACTTTGTTTGCTGGATGTGTGAAATAATTGAAATATTTTACAACTTGGACTATTTTATCCAAAAGGAATGTCCTTAATAAGAAGTGCTAATACTTTCTCTGTGACATATTCACTGTATTGTGCCTCTTACAGTGTTTTATTGTAAACAAATCACATTCTCTGTAAGGTGATAAACAAAAAATTTTATGAGAAGGCTTAGACAATTACAAAATTGGGAGTATCTATTGAGTGCAGGGTTTGGAACCTTGGGAAGGATCTCTTTATCCTGTTAATACAACAAATGATGGCTCTTGGCCCGGCCTGGCACATGGGCCCAGATGCGGAAAGGAGAGAGAGAAGGGGAGCTTCGCCGGCGTCGACTGTGCCCTCATGGGAGATGAGAAGGGGAGCCTCGGAGCACACAGAGGAGAAGGACAACTCTAAACCCGGGCAGATGGAGCTCGCTTAGCCCTGTAAGGCCATCCATCTAAGAGAAGGTCACTCTAATTAAACCTATGTCCTGAGGACCTCACTGCCACCGCCCAAGCTCGCTCAGCCCTGGCAGATGAACCTTAGGATTAAAGAGTGGGTTCAGTTCAGCACATGCTGTATCTCATCTAAAAAATCCATTGTGCAGGCTCGAAGGCCTTACTTGCATTTGCAAAGCCCTGTAGCGACATCTTCTACAAATGCAGTCACACAAAGATCAAAAAACAAAGACATAAACCTGCCTCCAAAGGTGTACCCGAATTAACTCTAGCATGCTGGAACATCAGAACCACGCTCGATTCGGTGGATACCGGATGTCCTG